AAAAAAAAAAGCCAGAAACAGACTCATAAACACAAAGAACAGACTGGTGGCTGCCAGAGGGGAGGAGGGTAAGGGAATGGACAAAATAGGTGAAAGGGATTAAGAGGCACAAACTTCCAGTTATAACATAAATAAGTCCAAGAGATGAAAAAAACAGCATAGGGAATATAGTCAATATTATAACAACACTTATGGTGAACATGGAGCAATATAGAGAACTGTCAAATCACTATGTTGAATATCTGAAACTAATATAATACTGCATGTCAACTATACTTCCATAATAAATACTTTTTAAAAATTTTTTTTTTTTCAACGTTTATTTATTTTGGGGACAGAGAGAGACAGAGCATGAACGGGGGAGGGGCAGAGAGAGAGGGAGACACAGAATCGGAAACAGGCTCCAGGCTCCGAGCCATCAGCCCAGAGCCCGACGCGGGGCTCGAACTCACGGACCGCGAGATCGTGACCTGGCTGAAGTCGGACGCTCAACCGACTGCGCCACCCAGGCGCCCCAATAAATACTTTTTTAAAGTAAGCTCTGTGCCCAACATGGGGCTTGAAACCATGACCCAAGATCATGAGCTGCATGCTCTAATGACTGAGCCAGCCAGCCGCCCCAATAATAAATATGTTTTTAAAAGTAAAAAGGAAAACAAAGAAGGGGGCACAGGACTCACTCTTTTAACATGATCAGATTTCTAATCTACCTTCCTTTTATACATGTAGTCCTGTGCTTCAGGGAAAGCTGACCTTATCCCTTAAGTCTGGAGATGGGGCCTGATTAGACCAAATCAATAGAGTAATCCAATCCTTCAGCCACAGTGACTGGTTTAGCTGAAGGCATGTTACCTAGTTTACATTTGGAAGATGTGCTAGCAGCTACTGAAAACAAAGTTCCTTGCCCTTCTGGAAAAGTACTCTGCCAGTCTGTCTCTCTTTTCTGTACCTCTCTTTTCTTCTTACCTGATGGAATAAAGAAGCAAAGCACACAAACTGTTATGCTCCCGCTACCACTCTTATGACCCTGAAGAAAAACAGTCTTAGATAAAGCTGGTAATTTAGCCAAAACAATGAAGAGTTGAAACCTGGTCTTTGATAACATCACTCAGCCACTGATTCAACAAATCTTAAAGTAGCTTTCCTCTAGACTTCCAGTTATGTGAATCAGAATGTTTTTTTACTGTTTAAGTCAGACTTAAGTGGGTCTTCCCTTCCTTACAGAAACACACACTCATGGAAGTGGAAAATATCTAAATGATGGTAGAAAAGCTGTGAGAGCTTCTGAATATAGGTCTGACTCTACAGTCAGACCACAAAACCACTATGTTATACTTCTCCATAGCAGGCAGTCAACAATCCTTGCTGAAGCATCAACACAATTTTATTTTTCTATCAAGAACACTTCCTTGGGGCACCTGGGTGGCTCAGTTGGTTAAATCTTGGACTTCGGCTCAGGTCATGATCTCACAGGTTATGAGTTCAAGCTCCATGCCTGGCTCTGTACTGACAGCTCAGAGCCTGGAGCCTGCTCAGATTCTGTGTCTCCCTTTCTCTCTGCCCCTCCCCCACTCATGAGCTTGCTCTACCTCTATCTCAAAAAATTTAAAAACGATAAAAAAAACCCCACTTCCCTACAAGATTAGTGTTTGTGAGCATTTTAAATAGCTTTAGTGTTTAAAACTAGAATGTAGGATAATTTACTAAACAATTTCTGTAATATTAGTTAGCTATGTAAGTTACTTCCAATTTTTTTTTGCCATCCGTCCATCCATTTATTCAACAAATACTTGTGCACCTGCTATAGTGCCAGGCGCTGTTCTAGGCACTATGGCAATATAGTAGTGAACCACAACAGGCAAAAATTCATGTCTTTACAGAGCTTATATTCTGCACTGGGGAGAGAAAGTGGACATGGTAAATAAGTAAAAGTATTATGGTCATAAATTAGAAGAAGATATATTAGGTAGGGAAGGAAGATAGGAAAAGATAGGAGGGGAGCAATTTTAAATAGGGTGACTAGGGAAGGCCTCACTCAGGTAACACTGGACAAAAGCCTGAAGGAGGCAAGGGAGCCTGCCATGAGGCCAACTGGGTAAAGAGCATTCTAAGCAGAGGGAATGGCAAAGGCAGAAGTCCTAATGTGGGGATGCATCTATTGTGTGCATCAGGCAGAGTAGCTGGAGCAGAGTGAGTGATGGGAGAAAACAGTAGGTGGTGAAGTCTGATATATCGAAAGAGGCTAAAATGCATAGGACGTTCTGGGCCCTTTGAAAGAACTTTGGCATTTACTTTGAGATGGAAAGCCACGGGGGGCTATGAGACAAGTCTAACTTACATTCTAAAAGGACCTGGCTGCTATATTGAAAACAGACTGTGGGGAAGGTGGGAAGTTAAAATGCTACTACAGTGGTGGCTTGGATCAAGGTGACAGCAGTAGAGATGGTGAGAAACAGTTACATTCTGGATATATTCTGAGGGTAAACAAGACTTATTGATGAATCACATTGGGGGTATGAGAAAGAGAAATAAAAGATAACTCTAATATTTTTGGCCTACACAATTAGATACAGTTAAAGCTGGGATAAAGGGCTATGGGAAGAACTACTTTGCAGGGGATGAAAACAAGTTCAGTTTTGGAGAAGTTTGAGATTCTTATTCAATGTCCAAATAGAGATGTCAAAGGTCACTGAGTGTATGAGTCAAAAAGTCAAGTGGTTCCAGGTAGATTAAAAAAAAATGGGGAATTATCAATATAGAGATAATATAAGACTGAATGGGCCAAACAAGTGAGTGAGAAGAGGTCCAGGGACTGAATCTTGTAACCTTCCAATCTTTGCTGACTGGAAATATGAAGAGAAACAAGCAAGACAGACTAGTGAGCTGAAAGTAAAATAGAAGAACCAAGAGAGTGGGAGGAACAATGTGATCATGTATGTGACTTCTTCCCAAAGTTGGTATTTTGTATTAATGAAGGCAGAAACTTGATCTTTCTGGTTTGCCACTGAATCTGTAGCATCTACCAGGGTAGCTGTTACAAAGTACTCAATTCCCTAATTGCATGAGTAAGCCAAAGGGTATGAACATTTTTATGGTTTGACATATTGTTTACAGATTTCTTTCCAAAAGGGTCATACTAATACACCAATTTACAAGGGATAAATAACATATGAGAGTACCTTTTAACATAGGCTTGCTCCTACTTTCATGTGAACTGTCTATTCATGTCCACTGTTAATGGAGTCTTGCTGTTTTACTCACTGTATGTGAGCACTTTTCATATGTACAATGTTCTTTCTTTCAGGATTTGTTTTAGGGAGTCAGAATTTTATGCAGCTATTCTTAACATCCTCCATTAAATTTCAAGATGAAATTTTCTTTATCATATAGAAAGCATATTTTATTGCCATCCAAAATAATGTCTAGAACTGCTGGTTCTAAAATGGCATGGTGTTATGGGTTGAATTGTGTCCCCTCAAAAGATATGCTGAAGTCCTAACCCTCAGTACCTGTGAATATGACCTTATTTAGAAATGGGGTCTTCACAGCTATGTAATCAAGTTAGGATCAAAGTGGGCCCTAACCAGTATGATTGGTGTCTTTATAAGAAGAGGAGTAGGGACAAAGAAACAAACAGGGAGAAGATGGCCATGTGACAACAGAGGCAGGGACTGAAGTGATGCACCTATACACCAAAGGATGCCAAGGATAATTAGCAAATACCAGAAGCTAGAAGAGGCAAGGAAAGATTCTCAAAGGTTTCAGAGGGAGCAAGGCCCTGTCAACACCTTGATTTTTGGACTTATATTCTCTAGAACTGTGTTCTTTTAAGTCACTCAGTCTGTGGTACTTTGTTATAGCAGCACTAGAAGAAACAAATATACATAGTAAAAACATTTCCACCACAGAACAACAAGGAAAAAAAGAAACATACAAACTTCACTGAAGCCAAGAAACAACTGAATCTTGAAGTTTCAGTACATGAAGGTGGACTACAATGTACATGAAGGAGACAAATGGAGGAAGATGAAACCCAAATGTCTATAGTTAGTGATACTGTCAAACAACAGTTAATGTGTCCACAGAATTAAAGGAGGGATCAGGACTTAAAGGCACTTGGTATAATGGAAGGCATGGACATGAAAACAAAAAACTTGATTAAATCTATGTAAAGAACAATTAAAACTCGATAGGAGATTGGGGATTTTATTTTCTGGTGAATCTAAACATTGGACTGTGCTGATAACACAGATTTTATATTAAATGCTGAGACCACTCAGGCAGAAGACTTGAAGATCTTTCTTTGGAAAAACTAAACATTCCTAGAGAAGAGGCCTCACAGATTCTGACATTTGGGGATTTCCTAAGTAAAAATTTCTCATCACTCTATTCACAGTGAAACCTAGAAGTCAACAAGCTTTGCCCATGGATATAGTATTTCCCATCACTTTATCTTGCCTCACTCTAACATATGAAAAGCTAAGGATACCAAACAAGAAAAGAAAACCTCTAATATGAAAGACAAGAGACTACAACTAATAGAAGGAACTCAGAAAGGAAATAATATAAGAAACAAAGCAAAAATTTTTTCCAAAAAACACCAAATCCTACAGGAGATAAGACAGTGAATCCACAAAACCAGGACAACAGGGTGACATAAAATTGGCATGATCAGAGGTAACTAGAAAGAATTTCTTGGAAATTCAAAATCATTGTAGATGAAAAAAAATAGAAGAGTTGGAAGATGAAATGAGGAAATCTTGTGAAAAACACAACAAGAAAACAAAGATATGGACAATAGGAGACAAAATAAAGTTGGAGGCTCAATCTAGGATGTACAATATGGAAAAGGAGCTCGAAAAAGGAAGTCAGAGAATGTGTTTGAGAGGAAATTATTAGCAATGATACAAGGAACATTTTATAGACATCAAAGACATGAATCTCTAAATTTAAAGGGCTTAATAAGTAGACAGTAAAATTAAAGAAAAAAATGACCCATATCAAAGCAGATCATTGTATATGTGTAGAACATTAGAAATAAAAACAGAAGATCCTAGAAGTTTCTTGAATATATTGTGGTAAACACTGCTAACTGTCCCCCAGTGCACCTTTCCTTTTCTTCCTTTCAGTAATAGGATCCTATGTATTTTAGCAAGACAAAAGGCTTCCCAGTTACAGACAACATCTCTTAGCCTCCCTTGTAGCTAGGAATGTCTGTGTAACTAAATTTTGGGAAGAAAGCAGAGTAATGTGAGAGAACAACTCCCAGATCACGTTTTTCTAACAAAACTCCTTGACCTTCACCTTCCTGCTGGCTGGAAAATGAACCAGTTGGTCAAAACTCAAAGATGGAAGCCCCACTTTGAGAATCCTGAATTGCCTTGCTAGCTTGTGGAGCAGAGTTGTCTACTTGGCCTGCAATTGTGAGAAACAGATTTCCATTCCATTTAAGGCACTGTATTTTGGGGTCCCTTTGCTACCGCAAGTATACTCTAGTTTAAAAAAAAAAGGACTAAAACTATAGGGTCACTGACAGAGAATTTCTATTTATTTTGTTCAGTGTTCTATCTCTTGCACCCTAGAATAGTGCCTGCACATAGGCATGTAAAAACTGTGCATGAGCGGTGCCTGGGTGGCTCACTCAGTTACTGATTTTGGCTCAGGTCATGATCTTATGGTTTGTGAGTCTGAGCTGCACATTAGGCTCTGTGCTGGCAGTGTAGAGCCTGCTTGGGATTTTTTTTCTCTCCCTCCCTCTGGCCCTCCCCCTTCTCCTCCTTCTCAAAATAAACTTAAAAATATAAATAAAAATTAAAACTATGCATGAATAATTTATGAGTGAATGACATTGTACTTCTAAAAAGCAAGCACGAAACCAAGAGGACAATGGGAAAATGCCTTCAAAATTCTGAGATTTTTTTATTAAAAAAATTTTTTTTAACATTTTATTTATTTTTGAGAGAGAGAGAGCACAAACAGGAGAGAGGCAGAGAGAGAAGGGACAGAGGATCTGAAGCGGGCTCTATGCTGACAGCCCAATGTGAGGCTCGAATTCGTGAACTGTGAGATCATGACCTGACCCAAAACTGGACGCTTAACTGACTGAGCCACTCAAGTGCCTCCAAAATTCTGAGTTTTAAGCAAATAATTACACTTATTTATAAGAATTTTATTCATTTCTTAAAAAAATTTTAATGTTGCCAAAACCCAAATACCCATATACAAATTTAGTCAACTCGATTATTATCTGTACAGTCACTTCAGTAGAATCAACTCACTTACTTGAATGTGGCAAGAGGACTGGAGCAAAGATGCTATTGCTGCCTATTGGAATGAGAAAAGTTAATTTGAAAAGAGAGGTAAAATTTATGGTTTTACTTTAAAAATATGTTTGCATAAAGTAACAAATGTAGTAACAGACAGAGTACAGAATTTTATCATCCTCTATTGCCATATTTTAAAAGAAATGAACCTGCATAGTTACCTTTGTAGGTTGGATGTTTTTCCTTTCTTAGCATGAGTAGTTCTCTCTCTAGCACAGACTCTTTTTAAACTTCTTTCACAAAACTTATCTCTTGTTTTCTTACTGTCTATTGCTCCCTTTAGAGTAGTAGTGGGGCCCAAAAGGTACTAAATAAGTATTTGTTTAATGAATAAATTAGAAAATAAATGCATAAACAATACACAAATGATGCTTTAGTCCCTTGTGTTAATCATTATTTTCACATTTAAATGCCACTTTCCACACTAATATAGTGTGCAAAGGATTCTAAAGTTCCCTAATTAAAATGATGAGAAGAATTATCTGAAACATAAGATTCCTTTTTTAACAAATGGTTTTATCAAATACATACCACAGGAACTGTTGAGATCCACATCTAAAAACACACTAAGGTCTGAAGAAGCAGATACCGGTGGAGTAGATGGCGTATTTGGAGAGGTTGGTGCTGACACAGTTGATTCAAGATCAGTTTCAGCAATCCGACTAAAGCTTATCTTATATGGTTCTCTTTCTAATGGTGTTGGATGACCTCGTAAAGTGCCTGAGGTAGAGCCATGTCGGCCTGTATTAGGCCTTATTCCAGGAGATTTTAAAGAGAAAGTTGATTTCCTAGGCTAGGAAAAGCAAAATAACTACCATTACTAATTTGCATATACTTTATTTTTAAGGCTTAGCACAACCTTATTAATTCTTATCATATAGTTAAGACACTACAATCAAATCCCAATCTGCAAAACACCCTGTAACATTCTAGTAGAACACTTCAGAATTTGATTGCCTTAATTTTAAGATGGACTTGAATACAAGTAAACCTCTCTTCATACTGCAGAAATAAAAATGTTGAAAATCTGTGTGAAAACTTGTTGCTCCCCAAACAATTCAATTCTTCAATTCATTGATATCAATTTTACACATATTTACTGTAGGCACAATATATGCAATATATGTTAGGTGCATCAGGAAAAAAAAAGGTCTTTTTTTTTTCTTCCTAACAGTAAATCGCCAACCTCTATGATGGCACTTTAAAGTCTTTGGCAAAAATGCTATCATTGTCTCCTACCCTCAACTTCCACCCCTCTTTTTAAACTCTCACAGTGGTAACCTAATAAAAAAACATGTAACTCAGATTCCAGTAACTTCAATTAAAATCTCAACTGTGCCAATATCTAGCTTTGCAGCCTTGAAAAAGTTATTTAACTTCTTTGAGCCTCAGTTTTGAGATTTGTAAAATGAGAATAAGATCTATGTTTACAATTGCTGTCAAGAGGAGATAACATGAAACTACCATGCTTACTTCTTGGCCTAAAGTAGGTGTGTTATAAATGATTTTGCTTTCTCCCACATTTTGCTTCCAGTTCAACTACTTAGAATTGGTCTTCCACTACTTCTGTTGCCACTATAAACCCAGGAATAACTAGGAACTGTAGCAGCAACTTTTAGCACGAAGTTCGTTCCACTGGCAACAACGGACTATGGTGCTCTAACGACAGGAGTCATGGTTAAGCCAGAAAAACCGGGATACACTTGCTCACTCCTTTTCCCAGGTCTTTTCATTTCCTGTTCCATTCAGCTTACCTATCATTTTAGGTTTTCACTTTCTCACAACTTTCCCCCTTATACTATGAAGGATTAAAAGCTGACAGATAAATAAGTCCTACTAAGATAAATGATAAACCAGACTTCATCAAAAGGCTAATAACATTGCCCCCCCACAATATATATAACTTTAGAAATAGTATAGTAGTGTAAAACAAAAGACTGAAAAATAGTTATTCAAGTAAATTAGAATTTTAATGGTAATGTTATATTAAATATTGAAAACTGTTGTAAAAAAACAATTTTTCCAAAAAAAATTTTAAAAACCACAATTTTTACAGAATTGTAATGAACTTACAAATCGAGGTGGCTGTTTGCAGTTTCGGGGTTCAATTTCTAGTGACTTATTGAACAAATAATCTGTAAACTCCTTTTCAGAAGCACTTCCCATGGGGTTAAGGTTTTCAAAGAATCTCTGGAATTAAACAAATTTCTGTAAGTATGTTTTAGATCTTTTTGGAATATGCATTTCACCAGTTTAAAACAAAAAAAAAATTATCAACATACTAAGGGATCATGTCTTAGAGTTCACAAGATTGTTTCAATCTCCCTCCTTGCAAATAAAATTGTATAATTTCTATGGGAGCTGTATATTCTAGTCTTCATTTTCTATAAAGATGAACAGATTTTCATTTATTACCATCTTAATGGCTCAGTATCCCTCAGTTAACATTACTTCTATTCAGTATAACAACAAGATGATTATCACCAATAAGCTATCAAAAGTGTTTAGGGGACTCCTGGGTGGCTCAGTCAGTTGAATGTCTGACTCTTGATTCCAGCCAGGTCATGATCCCAGGGTTGTGGGATGGAGCCCTGAACCACAAGGGTCTCTGCACTGAGCATGAAGCCTGCTTGGGATTCTCTCTCTCTTTCTCTGTTTCTCCCACTCTGTGCCTCTCCCCCGCTCACACTCATTTTCTCTCTCCAAAATAAAAGTATGTAAGGGCACCTGGGCAGCTCAGTCAGGTAAGCATTTGACTTCAGCTCAGGTCATGATTTCATGGCTCCTGAGTTGGAGCCCTGCGTCGGGCTCTGTGCTGACAGCACAGAGCCTGGAGTTTGCTTCAGATTCTGTCTCCCTCTCTCTGCCCCTCTCCGACTTGCACTGTCTCTCTCTCTCTCTCAGATATAAACATTAAAATTTTTTTTTAAATAATAAAATAAAATAAAAGTATTTAGAACAGAATTATAGTTAAAATTAAAAATAAAACTTTTTTTAAAGAAAGATTTTAAGTAATCTCTACACCCAATATGGGGCTCAAACTCACACCTCCAAGAATAAGAGTTGCATGTTGAGCCAGCCAGGTGCCCACAATGAAACTTTTGATAGTTGGGGAGAAAAAAAAAAGATAAGTTGGATTAAGTTCTATTCAAATTCAAAAGTAATTTCAAGAATAACTATAAACTTATCTGTGCTAACCTCTAGTAAAATAACTTTTCTTGTCTTTAAGGAAAAATATTTTCTAAGCTTAAATTTAAGTTTTTAGGTAGGAAATTTAGATGATTTAGCAAAGGGCAAAAAGGAATATAAATAGCAATCTCACTAACCAGAGATCTGTTAATATTTTACTAATAGAATATAGTTCCAATGTTTTTACTGTGTGAATATATGCATATATACATATATTAGTTTTGGGGGGTTATTTTGCAAAATTGGGACCACACCACAGTTATTGGTGGCTTATTTATAAAACACAAATTTTAGCTCTGGTGTATTTAATCATATGGATGTTCCAAAATATATTTCACTTATCTCCACATAGGCAGTTATCCACAACAGTGCTGTCTAATTCTTTGTTATTACAATAATTAGTATTATTATTAACTTCTTGTGCATAGTTTTCTGTACATTTCTGATGATTTCCTCAGAAAAATTCCTTAGAAGCAAATCATTAGATTTAACTTTATTTAATTTTGAAGTGGTTTAGAAGCATATGTAAAAATAAGTATTGTTTTTAACTTTAAGGGTACGCAAAATGAGCTTTAGAATTTCTGATATAAAATTCTCCATTTTTCAGGCTTTCTGCCAATGTCAAGAAAATTATATTATTCTAACAATATTGAATCAACTTGTTCTTCTATTCAGGTTAGCCAAATTAAATCATATGAACCAACAGTAATTTAAAGACTTTAATAAAGTTATAATAGCAGTATTCTTGATTTTCTCACCCTTTGCTCTATTTTTAAACACCACTTAACTATGGCTTGAAAAGTGAATAGCTACTTTGTCTATGTTTAAATTTATTTTGACTCAATCATAAAGAAAGCATTCTTTGCTCCCACATCCCCAAGAAGAATGCTATAAATGATGGTAGGAAGTCTAGACCAGATCACAAAAAACTATTAGGAGTTACTGAGATATGAATGTTAAAAGTTCTATTTGAAATATACCCAACTACAATTTAACATTATTTCTCTGGGAAAATGTATTATAAACTCTAATCTGGGCTTCAAGAACATATTTCTTTAGACCTATGAAGTTGCACATCACAGAGGGCTGGCCTAATGTTGAGGGAAGAGAATGAAATATGGGACCACCAGCAACATTTTCTTTACAGCAGGTATCTGTCTATGTTTTCATAATGGCGTACCCTAGGTCATTCTTTCTTAGGACTAGGGTATTTTGTTTTGAACTCAGAACAAAGAATAGTTACCATCTTATAATTTAGGAGGGTGGGAGTCATGGTGGCCATTTTCACTTAATATTGCCTAACCTGCAGATTAAGTCTGAAAGTTTAACACAATTTTTAATGTGACAGGTGAACTTATTCCAATAGCTATTATTTGTTCTGAATTTCAAATAAGTGTAACACAATAAAATTCATTTAACATAAACATAGTATCATAATTTACTATGATTTAGACACTATCCCACATCTTATAGTACTACAGAATCAATGTTATGAACCACTGCTCAAAATAGAATATCAATTGGTAGAATGTTAAAAAAAATAATTTTTTGCTATGCATACATACAACCAACCTCTTCCCCTATTTTAAACCCAGCATTCTTATGAAGAAATTAATTACTTAATGTTACGTTGGCACATGTAAAATATCTAAAATGGCTATCAATCAATGATAGCACTAGTAGCGGACTTTCTTTTTACTACATGGACATCAGAGTTACATTCCATTTCGTCATTCATTTTTTGAACGTATTATTTGAAACAATTGCACAAAGAAGCAATACTCTGAGAAACTATCTAATATATGTATTTTTAAGATTTTATTTTTAAGTAATTTCTACACCCAACTATGGGGCTCGAACTTACAACCCTGAGATCAAAAGCCACATGCTCTACCAACTGAGCCAGCCAGGCCTCCAGTACCTAATAATAATTACTGCATATTGTTAGCACAGAACATCTAATATTTACTTCTATCTATTAATTATTAACTTACTATATTATTTTTATAGTAAAATAGGTGGCATAACGCGTGGTTATGATATTTCTTACAGATTGCAGAGGATTTATTATGTTCTCTTTTAAGGATAAGCAAAGAAAATATTTACCCTCATTTCTGGTTCTATCCGTAAACAGTAAGGTTGATTCTGATACTGCTGAATTTCTCCAGTAATTTCAGCTACTTTCCTCCTCTTACTGAAATTGATTAAATCTTTCCCTTTCTTTTTTAAAAAATCATTATTCCCTTCTTCAGTTTTCAGAATATTTGTTAAATATATTCCTAGTAAAAAAAAGTATTTGAAGTTATAAAATTTGTTACTTAATCAACCATTTGAAAAAACAACTGTTCTAATAAAGTTGAAAGACATCCTATAATCCAGCAATTCTACCCCTAAAATGTTAAGTCTCTGATAGCCGTATTAATCAATTTTACATTAGGAATTTTTTTAACATGGGAAGAATTAAAAATAAAAAGAAAATTAGAGTTTAGAAAAGGCTTAATTTCTTTCTTAGACTAATAGCTTAAAATAAAAGGATTCACTCACCAAGTCTAAATTATAAGTGTTATATATGTTCTAACCATTTTAATATTTGATTATAAATATTTAATGCCAATGATCTTAAATAATGATCAATAAATAAATTTTAAGCCAATTCTGGTGATAAGGCTACAGATTTATAAACTAATCCTCTGTTTTCCCAAAGCCCATAATTTAGATAGAAAAAGAATTATTCCTCACTCTGGGATAGTAAGAAAGTTTTTAGCTCCTTTTTCATACATAATTATGGGTTCATTTAAATCAGTAGCTCTCAATGGGGGGGACAATTTTGTCCTATAGGGGATATTTGGGATTGGCTAGAGATGTTTTTGGTTAACATAACTGGTTGTGTATGTGTGTGTATACACAGGCATACATGTTTGTTCAAAATTCCTATGTTGAAATCCTAATGCCCAATGTGATAGTATTAGGAGATGGGGTCTTCAGGAAATGCTTAAATCATGAAGATGGAGCCCTATTGAATGGGATTAGTGCTTCTATAGAAAGACTCTACAGAGCTCCTTACAACAACTCTATGAGATAATTTTTATAACCTTATGTTAAAGACAGGGAAGTAGAGACTTTAAGTTTTATTTATCAATATGAACAGCTACTACCTGAGATATGCTCAGATATAAAAATTGGGACAATCTGCCTTTAAAGGCTGGTATCTCTTGGCTACAAAAAACTGTACCTAAAATGTAAGCATAAATCTATATTTAGTAACTTACCAAAAAAAGGCACACAAGGTGGATTGATTGACTTAAGTTTTACTAGGTATTTTTTAAAGTGATCTTGACTTAATTCCACAGCTTCATCCAAAATTCTCCTTTTTCTTTCCTGCAATGCCTTTAAAATATATGAAGTGAATATAATTTGTTTTTTACAATTCAATCATATTTTATGAACACAGAGTTTGGAATTTTATAAAATTCTGCAAATATCTGAAAAATAACTTTTTAAATTAAGGATGTGTAGTATTTCTTTCTGTACTTGCCTGAAATGATTTATCTATAAATATAAAACTTTTCAGTTTTTTTGATGTAAATTAGATGATTAAGCAATAAAAAATTCTTCCCAAGACCTTATTAGTTATATTTCTGATTAGCCAGAGTTTCAAGTTATAGCTATAGGAGAGAAATATAGTCCCAAAGCATTCAAATATTTTTGTACTTTATACTGAAAGGTCTTTTGGGGTTAAGGGTAAGATTTTGCTAAGGAGGAGAAGGGTGTGGGAGGGAGAGAAGAATTGAATGAAAATTTAGTAAAGCAAGTAAGCAGAGTCATTTCTTTTATATTTCATTATTACATTTGTTACAAATTAATTACTTTATTTTTAACCTTGTAAGTACACACACACACACACACACACACACAGCAAACTTTATACTTGACAGAAACTATTCAATGCATTTCCTTTAACTTAAGGAAAAAGCAAAGGTGACTGCATTGTTAACTTTTATTCAGTACTATACAGAAGTCCTAACTAGCATGAACAAAAAAAATAAAGTTCTAGAAAATGAAAAGAAAAATTGTCAGTATTCACAGAGGAAATAACTGTCTGTGAAGAAATAAATCTACATATAGAGTATTAATCAGAGAATTTAGCAAAGTTTCTCGATATAAAACTAATAGGCAAAAATCAATTGCATTTTTAGATACCATCAATAAAGAAAACAAGATATTAAAAAATATTCTAATATAAATCTAACAAAAAGGTATGAGATCTTCATGAAGAAAACCATAAAACTTTATTAAATGAATAAATAAATGGAGAGATACACATGATCATGGTTTGGAAAACTCACTGTAAAATTGTCAGTTCTTCATCAATTGAACCAACTGCAATTTATATAACCAATGCAACTCCCATCAAACTGTCAATAAACGTATGGAAGCAACTGGCTAGCCAGACATATGGAACAAAACATGAAATTTAACTTCAACCACACTCCATACTGAAAACTTATTTCCAGCTATGGCGTACCTGGGTGGCTCAGTCAGTTAGGCGTCCAACTTTGGCTCAGGTCATGATCTCGCTGCTGGTGGGTTTGAGCCCCACAAGGGGCTCTATGCTGACAGCTCAGAGCCTGGAGCTTGCTTCTATGTCTCCCTCTATCTCTTCCCCTCCCCCACTCAGGCTCTCTCTCTCTCTCTCTCTCTCTCTCCCCCTCCCCAAAATAAATAAACATTTTAAAAAATGTAAGAAAAACTTATCTTCAGCTAGATTAAGGACTTAATGTGAAAGACAAAACATTAACATCTTAGAGGAAGATCAATTAAACAAGACACCCAAAAGCACAAATTATAAAAGACAAAATAAATAAATTTGACTACATTAAGAACTTTTGTTCATCAAAAGACATTTAAAAAAAGGTGAAAAGGGAAGATCTGACAAGAGATATTATCACACGGGGCGCCTGGGTGGCTCAGTCGGTTAAGCGTCCGACTTCAACCAGGTCATGATCTCACGGTCTGTGAGTTCGAGCCCCGCGTCGGGCTCTGGGCTGATGGCTCAGAGCCTGGAGCCTGTTTCCGATTCTGTGTCTCCCTCTCTCTCTGCCCCTCGCCCGTTCATGCTCTGTCTCTCTCTGTCCCAAAAATAAATAAACGTTGAAAAAAAAATTTTTTTTTAAAAAAATTAAAAAAAAAAAAAGATATTATCACACACTAACTGACAAAAGGCTAAGTTCCAGTATATAAGAGAACTCATACAGATTCAAAAGAAAAACTCAACAATTAAAAAGTCAAAAAATTTCCATAAGAAGAAATACAAAGAACCAATAAATGTTTAAAAAGAGGTTCAAACTCATTAGAAATCAGGGGCTTATCAACCAAAACCACAAGACTAGAAAATGAAAAGGACTGACAATGTCAGTACTGGTGAGAATGTAAAACAACCAGAACTCACACATTTCTGGTGGGAGTATAAACTGGTACAATTACTTGGGAAAACAATTTGGCATATTCTAGTATAGCTAATGATACCCATATCCTATCATCTAGTAGTTCTAGGTAAATAACAGAGAAATTTGTGCATGCATGCACTAGGATTTATTTAGAGAATGTTCATGGCACTATAACTGATAATAGCCTCACACTGGAAACATGCAAATGGCCATTAACTAATGAATAAATAAATAAAGTTTGGTAAATTTATTCTTATAATATGATACAGCTATGAAAAAGAATGAACTATAGCAGCAAGAAACAACCTGGATGAATTTTTTTTTTTAAGTTTATTTATTTGGAAAGAGAGAAAAAGAGAGCGTGAGCAGGGTAGGGGCAGAGAGAGAGGGAGAGAAAGAATCCCAAGCAGGTTTCACGCTATCAACACAGAGCCTGATGCGGGGCTCTATCTCACGAACCGTGAGATCTTGACCTGAGCCAAGATCAAGAGTTGGATGCATAAATGACTGTGCCACTCAGGTGCCCCAACCTGGATGAATTTTAGGAAGATAATGTTGCATAAAAAAAGCATTTGAAAAACTATATTCGTATATAATTAAGAAACATGCAAAATGAAATAGTACATTGTTTAGAGATACAAATAATAAAACTATAGGAAAATAATAAGCAACAAAATTCAGAATGGTAATTGGCTCTGAACTGATGAAAAAGGAGATGGAATTGGGAGTTCTTAAATTGGATACCAGGTATACAGGTGTTGTTTGTATTTTTATTCTTTCGGCTTTAGACATATTTTATAAATATTGTTCTATACCTAATATTAAGAGACTAAAACTTAAACCTCTCAAAATAAATACATTACACTTTAGAGTTTTTCAAAGTCAGAATTAAAATTATTAATCTATTAAATAGATTAATATTTGGCAATAATCAACTGTTAATATCCTTCATATATGAAAAATTCATACAAATAAATAAAATGCAAACACCCAAATAGAAAAATACATACACGAAAGCAGTTTGCCTTCCACTCCCCTCTAATCATAACCGACCAAAAGAACCAATGTTAAGAAAAGAGTATGTATCTTTCCATACTCTTCTCAATGCTCATGCAATTCCATTAACATGTTTAGGGTTTGCTCTGTTTTGTTACATAAAAATGAAATCGCATTATACTCATTGTTCTAAAGTTTTTCCCCTATAATATTACAAATATTATTTTAATACAATACACAGATCCTACTCACTTTTTTTCTATAGCTGAATAGTATTCTACACTGTTGGTGTAGAACAATGTATTCAAGTCATTCTATTTATGGACATACAGGTTGTTTCTACTACTAGTAGTACTACTACTACTAGTGGTTTTCTGCTACTATAATTAACGCTGCAGAAACTACATCTTTGTACATTAACCATACAGTCTGGCACTTTTATTTCTGGATCCAAGAGTATGTGTTTTTTAACATATACTTTCTGTATCTTCTGAATTTTCTATAACAAACACTAAACGTGTACTCTTATATATAATTAAAAAAAACGAATTTTAAGTTTTAGAAAGACTTCTCTCCATGTTCCTCTTTCTTTGACTGTATACATTAAACTAAAGGTAATTGAAGTAATTTGTATACTTATATTTAAAATGCTTGTCATTTATTTGAAACAATCAATGTGTCACTGGAAAAATCCATTTGGAACTTCATTACATTTAAGTAGCATATTAAACAGAGTCTCAAATCTCACATTCCTTGAAGAATCCTAGGCTTACCAGTGTATACTGATATATTTAAGGGAATAAGATGATTTATAAAGGATTCATTCAAAACTACTGGTGGTAGAACCAGTGTCTTTTACATCAATTGTATCTCCCCCCCAAAAAAGATAAAATATTTAAGCCTAAAACTTACCTCAAAAGTATGGTCTAGTCTGTACACTGACACTGAATTTACTGCACTGACTATCTCCAATACACCATTGAAATTATTCAAATCTTGAAAAACTTGCAGAATTTCTATAATTCTACTTAGCACTGCCACCCGTTCCTCAAAATTTTCTGCTTCCACAATGCACCTAACCAAAAAAAAAAAAAAAAAAAAAAAAAAAAAAAAAAATCATGGCTTAAAATGCAATTATGCAATTTCCTCACCTCATGTAGAAAAGAAGAAATGTATTTTTAGCCAGAATTTAAGCTTATAGATGACTTCTATTATACTTATTAAGAAGTAATAAGACAGAATAAGTCAACACTCACTTTTCAAACCAGAGGGTGAGATTTGTGGTATGGCGAATCATTTTTAATAAATTTGGAGAATTTATTTCTTTATCTTCTTTGGTCCACACACTCCCTACAAGTTCAGAAGGCTGGACTTTCCTGTGGAACCAAAAATCAATCCAACTTAACTTACAAATGATTAGTATCAAAATTATTTAAAGATCTCCTAAAACTTAGTAAGGAAAAGACAACCCAAAAAATAGATGGACAAACATATAAACAGGTTTAAATCACAGAGGACTGGACCCAAATAGTCACATAAACATGAAAAAATATTTTATCTCTTATTCAGGGAGAAGAACATTAAACCACAACAAAATGCCATTTCACTCCTGTCAGACTAACAAAAGTCTAATGATACCAAATGGGTAAAGATGTGAAAAAAACAGCACCTTTCCAACACTAATGTGCAAGTGAAAACTATAACAATCACCTTGTAAATAAATTTAGCAATTTCTCAAAATACTGAAGATATACATATTCAATTACCCCACAATTCTATCTAGGTATATATTCTAGATACACCAGGTTATAAGAAAACATGAGTAAGAATATTCAGTGAAGCAGTCATTATTTCCAAGAGTGAAAAATCACAAACAACCTAGAGGTTCATCATCAAGAGACTAGATAAATTATGGAGCATTCATATAATGGAATATCACACAGTAATTAGAATAAGCAAACTAGAGCTATATTCATCAACTTGAATACCAGAAACAATTTAAGTGCAAAATATGTTGCAGAATGATACATAAGTATAAACTATTTTAAATCTGCAAAACAATATTATATACTGTTGATCAATGTGTGTATGTATATAAATTATAAAGACATACATAAGAACAATAAACACCAAATAAAGGGTAGTGGTTATTGGGAGAAAGAAGAGGAATGGAATTGAGAGGAATTAGTGTAAGGATTTCATTTTTGTAATGCTTTTGTTGTTCATGAGCCCTCCTTATGTAATTTTCTACATTTTTTTAAATACCTGAATTACTTCATTAAAAAACCAGACATAAAAGCAGATTAAATCATTGTATAGTCAGTCAGGATTACATATTTAAAAAATTGACCAGTGGCATACCCATCAATGTCCTACAGACGTGGCTATTAATTAATTAAAAAAAGGTTTTTAATCAGTAGATTCAAGTATACATGGATACTTGCTAACAGTTTTTAAAATAAGTTTTCTTATGTGGTTCTATTATTTCACCAGAAATTCAGTTTTCAGTGTCAACGTTTTACATGTTAGTCTTAATCCATAATACACATATCACTTAACAAATCTATTTTCTGTGTTCTGAAGGCAGGTCCACATAGAGCTAAGTGTTTTTGTTTTGTTTCTGATGTCCACTCATGTAACAGTTACTTTATGAGGAAAAACTTGATACAGTACTATTTGCTTTTTAATCTCATGTAACAAGTCCCTCATTCCTACCTTTACAAAAGCAAAAAACAACCTGAACTCCAAATTACTTAAAATATAACACAACACTCTGAATCAGATGTTGACAACTTCTGATGTGTGTGCTAAATTCTGAATGGCACGGCCAGGGCGAACCAGAAGCCCAATTCTAAAGAAGGAAAAGTTTTTATCTCTGCTGCCTTCCTACATTCTCCATTAGCACTCAATTTTGTATATTCTTGCTTTTCCCTTTAAAAAAAAAATGGCTGCCAATCAGGATAACTTCTTAAAGGTATTTGTATTTTGGAAGGGATTCCTAAATGCAGAAAAGTTTTTGATGGAATGATAGTGGTGGGAGGTCATTTTTTGACAGAGTTGGGGGAGGAGGCAGTTACCTGCAAGGCCTGTACTCTTCATAGGAGCCTGGGTTGTAAATGAAAGAAGAAAGCTTAAATTAGGAAGAAGACAGAATAGGGCTAATGTAATGGGAAAGGGACAGTGGTTTAAAAAAAGATGGTAGAGGAAGAAGCTGATAAAAGCAAGCTGAAAGGAGAGAAGACTATAGTTAGAAGCTGCTTGAATTAGTAATTTTGAAATAAAAATGATTTGGAGTGGTAACAAGATATGGAATATGACCACGAGAGGTGTTTTGATTTGGAGTGGAGAATGACATTGGAAGTGATGAAACCATGAAACTGTAAAGGTTAGGTTGTGAATGGGTGATCTGCAAGGATACAGGGTAATGGCAGGAAGTGTTTTACAAGTAAAGACAGATGATGGGATACAGATCAAAGTAAACAGCCAAGCACATTTCTAATGAATTTCACAAATGAAAGAAAGTGGTTCAGAAGTTTTAAGCATGGGTCATCATCACACTTAATAACTTTTCTTTAAAGTTAATATGAATTTTTAACTTAAATAGAGGGGCAGAGGGAGGACAGAGGATCTGAAGTGGGCTCTGTGTTGACAGCAGAGCCCAACATGGGGCTCGAACTCACAAGCTGTGCGTGAGATCATAACCTGAGCTGAAGTCAGATGTTTAACCAACTGAACCACCCAGACGCCCCTAAAGTTAATACTGACTTCAAACAGCTGAAGTACTTAAGACTCCTTTCAAAAAATAATGGAATCTTTATTCTTCTAAAAATTTTGTTATTCAATTGCCTAGCAAACCTAACTCAAACTCCAAATTAAAATTTTGATTATGTAGAACCTGAAAAAAGAAAATAAAGCTTGTCTCACTCAATATTCTATTTACTCAGCTGCCTTTAAGAGTCTACCGATCCATACTGACTGATTTAGCTGAACCAACTCCAACTAAAGCAATCTGAGAAAGTATTAGGAGCAGAAGCTGGTGACTGCCTTGAAAGTGTTGCTATTCTGCTGCATAGTTTCTCTCCACCTCTACTCTAGTGAAGGATTTCTAGGACCTACTCTAGGCCTAAACAGCAATATAAGACTTTTACCTATAGAAAAAAAATTGTAGTTAAAAACTGTGCTGTGAGCTTTCCTCCAAGCCCACAAGAAGACATGAGGCATTTTTTAAAAAAAATTTCTTTTAATCTTTATTTATTTTTGAGAGAGAGACAGAGTGTGAGCAGGGGAGGGGCAGAGAGAGAGGTAGACACAGAATCCGAAGCAGGCTTCAGGCCCTGAGCCATCAGCACAGAGCCTGACGCGGGGCTCGAACCCATGAACCGTGAGATCATGACCTAAGCCGAAGTCGGATGCTCAACCGACGGAGCCACCCAGGCACCCCGACATGAGGCATTTTTAAGCATTCATAAATAATTTGCAAAATGTTCTGAAAATAGACAGAGGTATGTTTAAGATTCTTGAAAACAGAGCAGCAAATGAACATTAATTGTTTACCTGTAGAGATCAGATTCCAAAAGTGTCAGCTGACGTGCAATTTCTATTGGATGAAGTGTCATAAGATCAAATGTTTCAAACTGTCCTGGTCTGCTAATATGCCATTCAATTGGTGGAGGTGGACTCTCAAAGGTAATATTATGGCTTATTCCATTTGCCTGAGCTTGTTTCTTCCTCTTGATGATCTTAGCAATTGACTCTACCCACTTCTTCATAGCTTTCCCTATGTTTGTGTTGCAGAGTACAAATAAAAAAATACCTTTTACTTGACAGACTGACTGCAAATCTTTATATAATCTCTGATCTTCACCCAGCTTCAATAATTATCAACTCATGGCCAATTTTGGTTTCATCTAACCCCACTCATGCCCTCCCTCCACCCCCCATGTTATTGTGAAACAAGTATATCATATTATTTCATTTGTATTTAAGTATGTATCTAAAAAATTAAACACTTTTTTAAATGACCACAATACCATTATCATATATAAAAATGACAATAACTTAATATCATCAAATATCTAATTAGTGCTCAGATTTCCCTGATTCTCTCCTAAATGCTTTCTAATAGTTGGTTTCTTTGAAATAGGGTTTGAACATGAACTATAAATTGCACTGAGTCAGTGTCTCAAATCTCTTTTCATCAATTTACAGTCTCTCCTTTTCTCTCTCATTTTTGCTTGCAATTCACTTGTTAAAATGGAATCATGTGCCTTGTGGTATTTCCCAAGTCTGAATTTTTCCAATTGTTTTTGTGGTATCTCTGTTCCCTGTTTTTTCTGTAAATCATACACACAGAGATGTGATACGATATAGGATCAATTTTTTGACATGAATACTTGCACGAATAGTTCCAACAGCCAGCATATAATGTCCAGTTACTTCTCTTGTTACAATATTATTAGGGAGTTGAAAAATAGTAATATTCTAATTCTATCATTCCTTCTCCATTTATTAGTTAAAATATTTTTATAAAAAGAAACATTCCCTCATCACTATTTGGTTATGCTGTGGTATAACTTACTTCAGAAAGGCCTTACGACATCAACTTTAGACATTAACATAAGCCTTTACTTGCTTTATTCTAATACATATATGTATTTTATTTTTTTATTTTAGAGAGAGAGAAAGAGTGAGTGTGAGTGGGGGACAGGGACAGAGGGAGAAAGAGACAATCTTAAGCAGGTTGCACACTTAATGCAGAGCCCAACATTGGACTGGATCCCACGACCCTGGGATCATGACCCGAGCCAAAATCAAAAGTCAGATGCTCAATCCACTGAGCCACCCAGGTGCCCCTACATATATTATTTTAGGAGTTTCTTAGATCATATATAATTTAGTGTCCTTATTAAGAAAATAATATAAAAAAATTAATTTACTACCAAAAACAAGTATCAAGGCACACATGATGATAATGTATCTTAAACATCTCAAAGTTGAAACAAAGGAATCACAGTCTCTATTTTAAATAAAATCCCCCTTAAGTAAAAACAAGTAGGAGAGAAGTTAGGTTTAAACTATTCTTAATTAATGCCTTATACTGTTAGATAAATGATCTTGATTCAATAATATACATTTGCTTAAATGTTCGTGGTGCAGAATTTAATTTCATGGGCTGTGCTCTGAAACTTCAGATAGGAAAGTCTTATCTTTCAGGTGCTAAAAGTATACAAAGACTTTTCCAGAAGTAAATATCATTTTGAAAAGCTGTTAACCATTCAAAACTAAAGAATAAGATTAAGAACTCAAAAATAGATAAAATTAGTTGAAAGAATGGAAACCTTGAGATAAAATTTTAAATGTTTATTAAAGAAGACTTATAACTTCTTTTAAAGAAAGATTCTCCTAAAAAACTTGAAAAGGTAAGGTTCTCAGACTTCCAGTGGCTCTAACATGTGAGTCCCTTAGAGTCTATAAACCATACCAAATGTTATTTCAACTGTTAAAATACATAAAATAGTTTAGCTTATTTAAAAGTCAAATTTAAAAATCAACTCATGTGCAACATAAGATTCAATCAAACCTTTAAATAATATACCTCTTACACTTGAAATGAAGGATTCTAGTCTCTCAAGCAACTCCAAATCTCTTTCAAAGTCATAAAAATGATGTTCAACCCAGTGCCGAAACACATTTAAGATCCTAAAAAAAAATGGAAAGAAACACATTTTAGCAAAACCTAAGCTTCTTCTACTTCTCTAATATCATAGTGACAACTTTATATACAAGGGCCAATATAACACTCAGAGTTTCTATTTTGTATTTAGTTAAAACCTTAAGTACTTCAATGATGTGAAAACCGGTCTCAAGACTAATTTATTGTTTTAAAATTATACTTTAAAAATATTTATAAGCATAAAAATTGTAGTTTCCATATTTAACTACCCCTTTATGCTTAGGAAAAGTAACTTTTCTTTATAGATATGTAGAAAATTCATCTTCTGTACAGTACAAACGCTATCTTAAATTCTTAAATTGAAAAGGATTTTTTTTAAAGATCTAAATTGATATATTTTTCACATAAAATGGCAAATCAAATAAGATTAGTGTATTTGTTTCCAAACTCAAGTGCTATCATCAGACTTTTGTTATCTACAGTTATGCCCACATTTCCTTATTTTATGTCAAGATAAAAATATTTCTGACAGAGCTGTTTTGTAGTACCTCAAAAATGACTCTTACAACCTTGCAAACAGAGATTTAATCTATCTGTATAAATATAACATTATATATAACAAATATAACACTACATAATGATAGTGTAAATTAATTACTTTAGAATTTTTTCTTCATTATTTTAAAAAATGACCATTTGTAGGTTAGCTTCTCTCCCCCCCCAACCCCACCCGACTTTAGTTTTTCTCCCAGGCTAAGAAAAAACTTTAAATTCCCAATCTCTGTCATGTTATCTATAATAAAACAATCTTAAGTTACTGTGTGCCTGGTAGACTCGGTGGCTTAGAAAATATTTCAAAGAAACAAAACTGTTAACTTCTAGTTCACACTTAGGTCAATCTGTTGCCAATTTCTGTCCTTCATAATTTCTACAGCAGCTAATGTAATTTTAAAATTAGTATCATGTACAGGAAAAAAAATCTTATAATTAGACTTCATCAAAATTAAAAACTTCCATTGACCAAAAGACATTATTAAGAAAATGTAAACAGATGGGGCACCTGGGTGGCTCACTCAGTTAAGCGTCTGACTTCCAATTGGGTCATGATCTCACAGCTCGTGAGTTCGAGCCCTGCATCAGGCTCTGTGCTGAAAGCTTAGAGCCTGGAGCCTGCTTCAGATTCTGTATCTCCCTCTCTGTCTGCCCCTCCCCCACTAGTGCTCTGTCTTTCAAATATAAATAAATGTAAAAAAAAATTTAAAAAAAGAAAAATGCAAATTAAAACTACAAAGACATACCACTATACCCCACCAGTTCAGCTAAAATATAAAGACTGACATAACTAAATGTTGGTGAGGATATGGAGCAACTGGAACTCTCATACATTGGTGGTAAGAGTGTAATAAAGAACAACCACTTTGGGGAAAGATTCGACAGTTTCTTTTAAAACCAAAAACATAAATACTCTACAAAGCTAGCCACTCCACTCTGAGTTATTTATCCAAGACCTATGAAAAAATATATTCACAAAAGATTTATAAAATAAAGTTCATAGCAGCTTTATTAATAGTAATAAAAAACTGAAAAGAACCCAGGTGTCCTTCAGTGGGAAAAAAAAATTGTGGTATATTCATATTGCTACCTTAGCAATAAAACAGAAGAAACTACTGACACAAGCAAAAACATGCTCAGAAGCATGATGAGTGAAAAATGTCAGACACAAAAGAGTACATAAGAATCCGTTTATATGAAATTCTAAAACAGGTAAAACCAATCTATGGAGGAAGATGAATACTGCTTTGGGCAATGAGGACAAAAATTGATTAGAATGGGCATGAGGAAACTTTCTGAGGTGATGGGAACATTTATATCTTGAAAGGAGTTTGGATTATAGAGATGTATGTATTTGTTAAAATTCAACCAAAGTACATTTAAGATGTGATTGTTTTGGGGCTACTGGGGGGCAACTGGTTGAGCAACCAACTTGATTTTGACTCAGGTCAGAATCTTAGTTTATGAAATCAAGCCCCACATCAGGCTCTGTGCTGACAGCTCAGAGCCTGCTTGGGATTCTCTCTCCTCTTCTCTCCTACCCCTCTTCCACTCATGTGTGTGCATGTGTATGCACATGTACTCACTCTTTAAATAAACTTAAAAAAAAGATGCAAAAGTACAATAAACAAATAATGCACTTTTAATGATATACAAATTGAAGTATTTAAGAAGTGTACTTTGAAATACATCCCCTAAATTTGACGATTAATGGACCAAAAGAAGAATAATAAATGAATATATGTGTGATAAAATAAATATAGCAAAATTAGCAGTAGATCTAGGTGGTGGATGTATGAACTCTCACTGTAAAATTCTCTCAAATTTCATTTATGTTAAAAATTTTGCAATACAACAATAGAAAATGTTACAATCGTTATGAAAATTACCATCATTGCTAAAAATTTTTTTTATTTTTTATTTATTTATTAAAAAAAATTTTTTTTCAACGTTTATTTATTTTTGGGACAGAGACAGAGCATGAACGGGGGAGGGGCAGAGAGAGAGAGGGAGACACAGAATCAGAAACAGGCTCCAGGCTCTGAGCCATCAGCCATCAGCCCAGAGCCTGATGCGGGGCTCGAACTCCCGGACCGCGAGATCGTGACCTGGTTGAAGTCGGACGCTTAACCGACTGCGCCACCCAGGCGCCCCGCTAAAAATTTTTTAATGTTTGTAGGACTGTTTTAACAACCTGGCTTGTATTTCAAGGCCATCTTGAATTCCACCCCATTCATTCCATATAGTTAATACCACCTACTACTTCTTGCAATACATGGTCTTCATTTCTGTTGAGTCAGTTTCCGTACTTATTTCGTCTGCACACCATTCTCACTTTTGTCTTCTTGCCTTTGTTCATACTATTTCCCAGGACCTTGAATACCTATGGTCATTTTCTGCCTACCTAAATCCTATACACCCTTTAGGGGCACTCAGATTTACCTCTTCCAAGATGGCTTCCCCTAGCTGATCTTAGCTATTGCTCAAATTATATAGGGATATATTTTTTAAAGCCACTTAAACATTTAAAATAGAATACATAACTATTATTACCGAACACAGAGCTCAAATTCACAACCCCAAAATCAAGAGTCGCATGCTCTGACTGAGCCAGCTAGGTACCCCTTAAATTTTTTAAAGTTTTGGCTGAGAGTCATGTAGCTGGGAACTCTATCATTTCTCTGAAAGTACATTCATTTGTGACAATTATCCTGGAAAATAAATCATATACTCAGTTCCAAAGTTGTAATTTATTAGTTAGCAATAATCAAGGAATCTTAATATTTACAAAGAAAAAAATATTTAGATCATGTACAATTAGGGACTGTAAAGAAAGCTAGTCAAAGGAGCTTCCAATTTCCAATCTCAGTGGTATAAAAAACGAATACAGGCTTAAGAAGTCAGAATGGAGTCTGAAACCTGTCCTGCTGTTCTCTTTATATGACCTATCTCAAATTACTTTATCTTGCTAAGTTTCAATTTCCTCATATAAGTTTCAATTTCTTTCATATATAAAGTAGTAACTGTATTATGAGGATGAGATAAAAACGATAAGGCATTTAGGTACACAGTGAGTACCTAACAGCTAGCAGCTGCTATTATCAATTAACATTTTTAGAAATTGCTGAAATGATTTTTTAGATGAAGTAATAAATGTCTATGTTTTGTGTGAGAATAATGGGGAAAGAGCTATAGATTCCATAAATATCATAAACTATAAAATAGCCCAGAATTACTAGATGATCACAAAGGAGGAGGAGCAAAGTTGACAGTAGGCACACTCACATAAAATTTTATAATTTTTACTTAATAGGTATCCTGGTATGCTAACTGTATATTGAAAATTGAACAGCACATAAAAAATAAAATATTCAGGCCAAACCTAAGTTGTACTGGTTGGACATATTCCTTGCGAAACCTTTTAAGGTCTGCACTGATTGGCTGTTCGCCTTTCTCTACTGCCAATTTATCTGCTTCAGTAGGTTCTGGCTCTGGAATTTCAAATCTAAGAAAAAAAAGAAGCAAAATAAGAGAAATTTTTTGTTTCATATACAAATGAAAAGGATTTAAAATACAACAGAAAAAATATTTTATTTAAGCAACTTTCTTTCTTATCATTTATGTGAAAAGTGCAATTACTGATAAACTTTCCCCGAAGTATTACATACTGTAAGAAATTGTTCTTTAGCTATACAGTAGGAAGGTTTAATATTCTTACTTTTATCAAAACAAGTTGGTAACTAGCACTGATCAATACAGAAAAGGTCAATTAAAAAGATCAAGCTATATAAAAATAATCTATAAGGAGAAAAACTTTCTTAAATGATGTAACAGAATTGGTACATCTAATAATCTGTCCTTAATATTTATTTTGTTAAAATTAAAGTAGACATAAACTTCCTTAAATGACTATACATACAAGAGAAGGCCCAAACTGAATTTTAAACAATATTTGAAGAACACACTTAAGTGGATAAGGTAACAATCAAAGCTAAAACAAATAAAAGGAAACCTTGCCCAATCATAGGAAATATAGCTAAAATAGGAGTCTAAGAAATGTGCTTTCCTTATTTTGGACATGGAAATACAACTAACTAGATCTTCATAGCACATTACACTGATTCAGTCTGGTAAACCTAGTTTCACAGTACAACATAATGATACAGGTGAAGATGTAATTCTGGTATTAGGTTTTTATATGTGAAACAAAAATTATTTTGGAGCCCAGACACTATCTAAAGAAGAAAAATTCAATCCAAAACTTAGAGTTTTTAAAAAACTAATCACAATGAAGGAACTGTTAATTTTTTTACATATAAGACTTTAATTATGTTTTTAATAAAAATATTTATCTTTTGGAAAATGAAAATGAAAATATTTACAGATGAAATATGTTGTGTAGGATTTACTTCTAAATAATCCTGGGTTAGAGTATTGAAGTCAGTAGGGAAAGAGATGAAAAATGGGTTGATAATTACTGAAGCTGGATGATGAATAAATGGGGTTTACTGTACTCTTCCATTTACTCTTTTATATGGTTTGAAATTTTCTTTAGTAAAAAGTCTATTTTAAAGTGACAAGTAAAAAAGTCTCTTTTAAGGAAGTTTTTATTGCCCCCCAAAAACTCATTTAAATACATACTCAAAATTGGGTCTTTTTGATTACCACTATAAATATTGCTATGATCTGAAGAGACCTCTGTTATAAAAGATATTTCAATGAGCATACTGTTTGAAGAGAACAGTAATACTACTAATTTAATGCCAAATATATTATGTTCAAAAACTAGCTGAGCACATACTAGGTCCCCATCACTTTGCAAGGAACAAAGTAGTTAACTTTTTATCAAGTGTTAAGTAAAATAAATATTTTTCTTACCGTTCAATCAGTAAGCTTAGTAATTCCTGTGGTTTACAAAATGAACGGTATGTAGTAAGAAAAGTACGGACAAAATTGGGATCTGAAAAGATAAAGAGTATAAAATGGGACGTATGTTCAATTTATTCAGTTTCATTAATTCAAAGTAGCATATTTTGGAGGACTTCCTCCTTTTTTTTTCAATGTTAATTTATTTTTGAGAGAGAGAGAGAGAGAGAGAGAGAGAGTGAGAGTGAGCGTGCACGCGTGAGAGCAGGAGAGGGGCAGAGACAGAGAGGGAGATACAGAATCTGAAACAGGTTCCAGGCTCTGAGGTGTCAGCAAAGAGCCCAATGTAGGGCTTGAACTCTGAACAATAAGATCGTGACCTCAGCAGAAGTCAGAAGCTTAACCTACTGAGCCACCCAGGTGCCCCTTTTCCTTTTTCTTTTTATTCTGGTTCCTCCCACCATGGTCTTCCTGCGATTATGGGATTTCTTTTTTTTTAAATTAAAAACAATTTTTAATGTTTATTATTTTTGAGGGACAGAGAGAGACAGAGCACGAGCAGGGGAGGGGCAGAAAGAGAGGGAAACACAGAATCCACAGCAGGCTCCAGGCTCTGTCTGAACAGAGCCCGACGCAGGGCTCGAAACCCACAAACCGTAAGATCGTGACCTCAGCCAAAGTTGGATGCTTAACCAACTGAGCCCCTCAGGCACCCCATGGTATTTCTTG